TATGTGCTTCACGAATACGACGAAATTCAAAATAAAACTAAAAAAAATTACGTAAAAACTTTAGGACAGAAATGTCTATCAGACCTGTCACTATTATTCCTAGGGATAGAAACTTTAGAATCTAAAGATCTCTTAATAATTCAGTTTTTCGAATAAGGGGAGAATATTTTTATCTGGATCATTTATGAAAAGCTCGTAAAATTATAGAAAATTAAATAGAAAAATAATTAGAATGATAAATAACTATTCTTCTAATTTTATGTATTTTCATATTTTGTGATAAAAAATTTCTTCTTAAGGGGGCCCCCAAACAAATTTTGATACGAGTCCCCGCAAAGGCACGCTACTGATGTTGAGAAGAGAGTTCTTCACGTGTTCGTTTTTTATCTTAAAAGTCGATAAAGTATAAATTATTATCTATACAATAATACATTCATTAATTCATTCTTGATAAATTATACAAACTAAAGATTTTCCGATGCAGCTCTTTATCGCATAAAAGATAAAACACAATACTTTCGTTATGCGGCGGCGACTCCTTTGGTTTTAACTAACTAAATATTCGGCCGAATAAAAGTTTGATGCAAGCTTGGTTGAATAATTAACTCCGACTTTGAACTTAAAAAATATAAAATATAAGTTTCAAATGAAATAAAATTTAGGTACAATGTAAAAAGGTATTTCCGAGTCTCGATTTCCTGGGGGGGGGGCCCTTAGGTCGGGGGCCCGTGGCATTTTGCCACCCACGCCACCCTATAGTTACGCCACTGACCTTCACTAAATCTTCTTTTGAATTAATTAGTATGAAAATGTAAGGCACTCGGGGTAAGGAAATCGATGTTATGCTGAAGATCATTCATGTGTTCCTTGAGCATTATTTTGTTCTGATTCTTGTTTTTTGAATTATTTCTATGTCGAACAATTCTATTGTGTAAATTTTGACTAGTCTCTCCTTCATAAGCTCCGCGTCATAGTTGAGACATTTTAATATTTATATATATATATATATATATATATATATATATATATATATATATATATATATATAATACGTATACATCTCGTATACATAAAAATAAGCCGGGTTTTCCTTCCTGACGAAATAACTCCAGAACGCACGAACCGATTTCGACAATTTTGCATTCGTCGGAAAGGTCACGGGCTCCGCAAGGTTTATAGCTAAGAAATTTAGTGGTGCATGGCATCGTGCCCTAATGCAAATTGCTTGAACTTCACGTACCGTAATTAAAAATTCGAGTAATGAAAATAATCAATAATTGTTTTAAATAATTTCAAATAGATTATATATACAAAAATAAGTCGGGTTTTTCTTCCTGACGATATAACTCCATTTCGACAATTTTGCATTCGTTGGAAAGGTCTCGGGCCTTGATGCAAATTGCTGAAACTTCACGCACCGTAATTAAAATTCGAGTAATGACATTAGTGAAAGTTATCAGAATTATGCTTGATTAAGTCAACGAGCAATTCTTGCCGCAAAGAATAATGATGTACACGCACTGAATTTCACCATTCAATCAAAAATTGCTGGCGATTTGGTGACATACCAATGATTCCGACTGGTCTTCCGTTTGACTTCAAACGATTGCAATTTCCAGTTTGCCTTGCGTTCGCAATAACAAGTCGCAAGGCCAATAGCTTAGTGTTTGCGGGATAAATTTCAAATAGATTATTTGGAAAATCATTGTTTTTCACATGGGCAGTTACATGTTGCCTGTTCACGAATTGGAAAGCCATCCGCTTTGTTTGTGTTAACGTCAGACCAAAAAACAAATAATGTGGTTTACCAAAGAGCACTTCAATGAAACGGATAATTTGCGGATTCACAATCATTTACTTAGAGAAGTTCAACTGAAAACACTTCATTTTTGTAATCGAAATAAATTCATCACTGTTGTGTAATAAAATAAAACAAACAAAAATTGCTTCACCTTTCTCACGAAACTTCTTTTATTGTATTCGTTTTGGCGTTTCATGTGTGTCAACATTCAACAAGTTCACATCAGAAGGAAACATCATTGCTTAAACTAAACTAGTTGGTTTGGTATTTAGCCTTGAGGCAAGTTACATGAACTTCCCGATATGTGTAAATAATCGACTTAATCAAAAAAAATGTGTAAATAATATACTTCATCAATCCTACTTTAAAAAAACGATAATAATTTTAGCAAAGTTTGACGAATTTTTAAAATTAAACTACTTGTCGTAAGGCCGTAATATTACAGTAAGTTCTATAAGACCATGATGTATATCGCCAAAAAAGTTCCATGAAAATCGGCTTAAATTTTTTTTCAACAGTTCATTACAAGAAAACGGCTCGGTAGATTTTCACCTAAAATTAATCAGTACCATTCCCAACTAATATATTTCGAACAGTTTTTGATTTTTTAAAATCGGTTCGGTAGGATGAGCTTAAATGTGGACAACAACTTTTTTTTTCAAATTGCAAAGAAACGGCTTGGCAGATCATCGCACAAAACTGACAAACTTTAGTCCTCACCGAAATATATCAAATGGCTTTTAAATTTCTAAAATCTGTTCAAGCGTTTTTGAAAAAACGTCGATCAAAAGTCTAATTTTGACAAATGCCAAAAAAACGATACCAATTTTTGCAAACTTTGACGAATTTTTAAAACTGAACCAGTTGTCGTAGGGCCGTAATATTTTAGTATGATCTAGAAGACTATGGTATCTACCGTCAAAAAAATAATCATAAAAATCGTCGAATTTTTTTTTTTAAACTTTATTACAAGAAAACGGCCCGGCCGATCTCTACCAAAAACTATAATCAGCACGATTCCCAACCAATATCTTTTGAACGGTTTTTGAATTTTCAAAATCGATTCAGAATTGCGGGCTAAAACGTAGACGAAAAATTTTTCACATTTCTGAACCACCAGAATATTTACCAGAAGACATTAAACTCGAATTAGAGGATGATTTTGATGATCCCGACGTTATTGTCAAATCTGAATCGTGTTCTGAAGATGATGATACGTGTTTAGAAAGATTTATGAATTCGGAGGTGACAATTGAAGAAGTGAAACAGGAGTTAGTCGAGACAACAATTTATGAATGTGACCTTTGCAATAGATCATTTGCAGAATCAGATCATTTAAAAGAGCATATGGCCGATCACATTCCTAATAATAGCAAAGAAAGTCCTTTCAAATGCTAAATCTGTCGTAAGACTTTCAGTCTATTAGGTAATCTGAAAAAGCACAAGCTCATTCACACTGGAGTGCGCCCTCATGAATGCAATATATGCAAAAAAAAAAATTTACAGAAAGTGGTAATCTGGAAAAACACATGCTGATACACAGTGGAGTACGTCCACTTGAATGCAATATATGCAAAAAGACATTCATGCGAACAGGTGATCTGAAAAAACACATGCTGATTCATAATGAAGTACGCCCCTATGCATGCAATATACGCAAAAAAACATTCACGCAATCAAGCAGTCTGAAGACTCACATGCTGATACACAGTGATGTAAAACAGCATCAATGCAATATATGCAAAAAAAACATTCTCACAATTAGGTAGTCTGAAATGTCACATACTTATACGTACACAGTGGTGTGGTGTACGTCCCCATGAATGCAATATATGCAAAAAGACATTCACAGAAATAAGTAATCTGAAAATTCACATGCTGACACACAGTGGAGTACGCTCTCATGAATGCAATACATGCAATAAGAAATTTAAACTATCATGTCATTTGAAGGCGCACATGCTGATTCATAAACGAGAGCATCCTGATAAATGTGAAGTATGTGATAAGGAATTTACTCAATCGAAGGATTTGAAGAGACACATGGCACTTCATAGTCAGAAGCGTGATAAAAATCAATGAACAATAAGCCTATTTGTTTACTTAAATTTAAATATTTGGAAACATGTTGTAAACTTTTCATGTAATCATATGTATAAATAGTATGAAATATACAGCAAACACTACATAATATCAATATTTTTTTTATAATTTATTATTTATATTTTAATTTTTATACATTTAGTATTAGTAATCTGGATTAGCAACCAATGGTTTCAGGTTCGAATACAAATACCCACCTCGGTCAGCAGTTGTGATATCACATATTCATTTAAAATTAAAGATTTCAAATTTGATGCCAAAGAATGTTATATTTCATGGAATGGCATGAATTTAAAATAAATTTGTAGATAATTCTAAAACTATAAAAATGCTGAACAGATTTGACCTATCTTTGTCTTGAAATATTCGTGTTAATTCAGAGGTTGTGAGAAAGGTGAAATATTATTTGAAATCCGTTTTACGTTTTTAATTTGAAAAAAAGGGAAGAGAAGAAAATTTCCAGAAAAAATGGCGAATAACAACAAAATTTATTTAGAACTGAAATTTAATTTTTTATATTATTGCAAAATTAGAATATATAAAATTTTATTTATTAATTAGTTCAAAACAAAAATATTTTAGACTGACAAACTCACTAATAAAATTACAAAAAGAATTTTCAATTTAGATTTAAAAAAACACAACCCTGGTCGCCGCCATGTTTGACAGTTGAAAGACAGTTGAACTTCAAAATTTATAAACTTGGCAGCTTTATTCTATAAAATTATATTTTAGTGATAAAAACTAGTTAATTGTATATATATATATATATATATATATATATGTGTGTGTGTGTGTGTGTGTAATAACCTAAAATTGTGAAATAACCTAATTAAGTGTAAAAATTGTGTGAAGTAGTGAATTACCATTTAAAACATATCCACTTCAATGTGTATGAAATTCATTTAGTTGGAAAAAATGCTTTTAGGTTTAAAGCATTTTTATATTTATGACGATCTTAATTTATAAATATTTATATATTTAAAACATAGATTATATTATATATCTAAAATACGAAATTTAAAGCATGTGATATAGAATAAACTTATATAAATATATATGAATATACAATGAAACAATAATATTATAGTAATTCCATAGCAATTGTCTTTTGACATCAATCCTTTAACTGATATTCCATCTCTATCTCTTTTTCAAATTTAAGAAACTTCTCATGCATCTTTTTAATCTGAAATTGAAACGATATAGTTAGAAACTAGTTAGAATTGTGTATTTTGCCTTGAGGCAAGTTACATGAACTTCCCGATATGCGTAAATAATCGACTTAATCAATAAGTATTCCGAGTGGATTTATTACACACTATTGAAAACAAAACAAATTTTCATAAATCAATTTTTATAATTGAACCAGTTTGCATAGGACTTTAATGGTTTAGTATGTTCATTAAGACCAAGTACTCTATCGTTATTCCAAGTAAATCGTCTAATTTTAATTTTAACAAACGTTAAAAAAACTACTCTCTTCTCTACTTTCTCAAACTTTGATAAATCTTTAAAATCAATTTACTTGTCGTAAGGGCATTATATTTCAGTAAGTTCTATAAGACCATGATATATATCGCCAAAAAAAGTGCCATAAAAATCGGCTTAAATTTTTTTCAATAGTTAATTACAAGAAAACAGCTCTGTAGATTTCACCTAAAGCTAATCAGCATCATTTCCAACTAATATCTTTCAAACAGTTTTTGATTTTATAAAATCGATTTGGTAGTATGATCTTAAATGTAGACAAAAAGTTTTACACTTACACTTTCCAAATGACAAAGAAACGGCTTGGCCGATAGTTGCACAAAACAGACAAACAATAGTCCTCATCGAGATACATCGAATGGCTTTTAAATTTTTGAAATCAGCAAAAAATTTGTTCACAAAGAAGACACACACATATACGTTTTTCAAATTTGGTCTCATTCGATTCAGAATGACTAGAAACGTCAAGAAAATATAAAATTAGCGACTCGAATTTTTTGTTGAAAACAAACTTCTCCTTCGGGAAGTTAAAAATAGTTGATCTTTACAAACAAAAAACATATTTCTACATTAATTAATTTACTGGGAATTTTTCTGAAGCTAGTTCGATAGTTGTTTGTTTGATATGTTTTATTTGCTGTGATTTCGGTTAGTGTGGGACCTCCCCTACAAATTACACTTTTTCAATATTTTTGACCAATTTTCTTTGTTTTATTTTTTTATAATGTGGAATAGAAAATACAAGTAATTGAATTTTACACATTTGTAGAAATGATATTTAAAACTTATTTTGCCAGCTAATTTTATGTAGAACATGTGAACAAGAAAAATTTTCTGACGCTTCTAATAAAGATCAACCACCGACTAACATTTGCTATTTTTCATCAAAATGCAACAAAACCGGATTTTTGTCAAGATTAGAAACCCAGCAACTCGTAATCAAGTATAGCTAATAATAAATATAATTCTTACCAGTTCCAGTACAAGCTTTTCAAACCTTTCCAAACCTGCCATATCCTGCTTTTTGCAATTTTCGATTTCTAAAATTGTTGTTTCAACTTTTTTGACTGATGTAGCAACATTCTTCGTCTCTTCTTCCAACCGTTGACATTTATCTAGACGTATCTGGATTTCTCTAAATAATTAAAATTCGGTGTTAATGGCATTTTGCAGTAAATAATCGACTTAGCAAAAAATCATTACATTAATTAATTGATATATTATATTAAAGTTTCAATCATCAATTATATGCAGTAGATTTTGGATGGGTTTGGAAGAGAAGAAACAAGCAACATTTTTGACATATTTTACTGTTTTGCTACAGAAAAAATAACTAGTGGGGTATATGGCAAACGTGCCTTAAGAAAGTTGAAACTTCCCGTACCGTAACAAAATGTAGATTATTATAAATATTGTAATTGTAACTTTGTCTAATATTTGTAAGAATTATATATACTGAATTGCAAAGTTGAAATTATTTGTTTAAAGTATATTAGAACTATAGTCAGAATTAAAAATAAAATCTGAATTATTTTCGATATACAAAAAAAAATTTTTTTGAAAAAAAAAATGAAAAAAAGGTTAACAAAAAATTTTTTTTTCCAAAATCAATTATTTTGTTAAGACAAGCAGAAAGTTCTTTGAATAATTTAAATCGGACGCTTAGTTCTCTCAAAAACTACCATTTTTTACACATTTAGCTCCGTATCTTCGAAATGGCTGGGCCTGCCTTTGCCAAAAACTAATAAACACTTCTCCCAATCATTACTAATTGAATGTTTTTTAGATCATTCAAATCGGATGCTCCCCCAAAAACTCGATTTATATTTTCTGCTCTCTTTGCTCTTTATCTCCGTAACTGCTACACTTGCCTTTGCCAAAAACTAATCAGCTCATCTCCCTATCAATAGGAATCGAATGTTTTTTTAATCATTCAAATCGGTTGATCCGTGCGCCCGAAAACGTGACTGGAAATTTGTATCCATACATACATACACACAGACACACATCCATTTTTTCTGAGGTATGCCAAAACGTTCAGAAACCTTCAAAACGTCGAGAAATATAAAAATTTTCAATTTCGATTTCGGCCCATTACAATAACTTACCCTACGGGAAGTTAATAATGTGTATTAAATTATTATCAATTGCAAGAAATATGTAATTAGATATTATAATTATTAAGAACCAGTTAAAATATGATACGAAACTATGAAAGTTATAGGCAACATTATTGGAGCAATTATGTTGGGTAGAAAATCCAAGTCCAATCCAATTAATTTTTTCTAAAATACCGTTTAAAGACTTCAATTTCCAATATAGTGTGAGAATTGAAACTCACCATTTTATTTAAGGGGGTTGTTCTTTTTTTATTTTTTTTGTTTCGGTTTTAAGATTTTTTAATTTTATGAAAGCTAAAAACCTTAGAATTATTTAAAAAAAAAAATCATTTCAATATCTATTTTTTTGACGAAGTTATAGATATATATATCTATAACAATATCAACCTAGTTTCTTTTTTTTTGTTTCAGGCGATGCGCAACGGAGTTATCTGTGGCACCGCAAAAGAGATCGATTTTGCAATGCCCACTTTGGCGCCCCCTGGTTAAAAAATGACGGCGAAAAAATAACTATAAAATTTTTTTTAATATTCTATGATTTTGTAATTTTTGTTTAAAAAAAACCGCATGTCTCTATGATAAATACATTTAGAGAAAAACAAAAACAAATATTTTTTGTAACAAAAAAAAGAACAACCCCCTTAAAGCAACCATTTTATTTAAATTTCTACATATAACATCGTTCATATTGATGTATATGCATTTTGGTGTGAAGAGTAATTTTAAAAACAATTATTATTTTTAGGTAAACGGTAAATATTAGTAAAGGATATTAAAAAATTGTAGGCATGGATACAGGACAACATCTGTCGGATCATCTAGTATATATATATATATATATATATATATATATAATATATATACAGTAGAATCCGCTTAGTATGACATCGAAGGTACGCCAAAATCCCGTCATACTAACCGGTCGTCATTAAAAGCGTACTGAG